CCTAGATCCTCTTTTGTTGCCAGTTCAGAGAGTCCAGGTGGTTGAGTATCAGATTGTTCCATCTCATTTCCCTTTAGGGTTGCTGTAGGTGATCTAGAAGTCTGTTTTTGAGGCTTGTTTATGTGTCTTCTCATTTCCACGGGGGCGGGGGGTGTGCTTCTCATGCCTGCGTGGCTCACCTTCTCTGCCCTAGGAGCTTGGGTTGGTGGTAGGGGGAGCTTCCTTCTGGGTGCTGGGACCAGCTCAGCTTCTCTGCCCTAGGAGCATGGGATGGTGGCGGGGGAGCTTCCTTCCGGGTGCTGGGACTGGCTCACCTTCTCTAGAAACTATTATATTTTTATATGTTGATAGATTTTGGTTGAGAGTGTACTTCTATTAGATTTATTCAGGCAAAAATACAAACAGACCTAATAACCATAAATTTGTTCATCTTAGATACTTACAATGGAGGAAACAAATAATGAATCAAAATCATTCTTTTCTTCTCAAAACAACAAAATTGTATGAAGCAATCTATAAATGATTCTTTGAGATATTTCAATTATCTGATTCTGTGCTCTTAGAATATAATTCAGATACTTAACTGCCAAAAAACAAATAAGGAAATAGTCAGAATTTACATATGGCCCAATTCACAATGTCTCAATTATACTACATTATTATTGTTGTAGTTTAAAGCTATCACAAATGTGTATTGATAATTAAGAATATTCTTATGAAGAATACTCTTATGATGTTTTAGATGTTGAAGTTACATTTCTCATAATTTCAAAATCTCATTTATTTTATATATATGTTGCATATCCCATTTTTAATCTGATGACTTCTCTTTTAAAGCTGGTATTAGGAAATAGGAAGAATGTCTACCTTAAATGTTTCCAAATGATAGAAAATTAAATTAATTGGAAAGTTTTTACTTTCAAGAAAGTAATTCATATTCATTGTAAGATAGATTAGAAAACACTGATGTGCAAAATCAGAAACAAAAATAATGCTTACTCTACTATTCAGGAATAATCACTTGTTTAGTTTAGTGTGTATCATTCAGGTCTTTCTCTAATGAGTACCCAACTACATGTATATATTTTTAAAAATGTGCTCACATTATAAGCACAGCTTAAAAACCTGCTTTACAATTTAACAATGTATTCTGAAAAGCCTTCTGTGTCATTTTTACACAATGTGTTTTCACTGTATGGTTGAACACAATTGAATTAACCAAAGTTTTCCTAATATTCTTACCATTATAAACAACAGTTGTGGGTGTGAGCCAGCTTTCCATCAGTGTAACAAATAATTGAGATAATCAAATTGTAAAGAGAAGACACTCTTTTGGCTCATAGTTTTGGAGGTCCCAATCCATGATCAACTCACCCATTGCTCTGGGGCTATGGCAAACAGCCCAGCAAGGCAGGACCAGCTGGCTGGGTGAAACACTCACCTCATGGTGGAGAAGCGAAGGAGAGAGAAAGGAAGAGCTGTTGTCCCATAACCCCCTTCAAGGTCCCATTCCTTGGGATACAAAGATCTCCCAGCCCCCACCTCATCATGTTTCTATGGTTCCCAACAGTGCCAGGCTGGGGATCAAGTCTCTAACACAGGGACATTCCGGGAATACTCAAGAGCCAAACCATAACAGTGGAGAACACCATTTTAGATAAATTCCTGGACATATTCCAAAGCCATAGAAAATTATAGAGCTTTTGGTAGGCAGTGCTAAGTTGACCTTTCAAAATGACTGAGCCCTCTTAGGCAGACCTGGTATGCCAAGGTTATCTGTTTTATCAGTTCTGTATTTTAGACGAGATCACAAATACATAATACTGTGACTGTATACAGTAGTATCAGATTAAATGTGGTTCCCTCTCTATTCCATTCTCATTTAGAGGAGGAGTTTGCTCTCAAGTGTATGTAAGCCATTGGGTTTTTTGTTTTGTTTTGTTTTGTTTTGTGTTGTTGGCATTTAGCGTATTTGAGACAGTGAGGTTTTTAATTAGTGGGTTTTCTTAGTGTTTTCTCTGAATCACAGGAATGGATATAGCCTATTGCATTCTCAGATCTTCACATAATGAAAATAAAAATCTTGTATTATTTGGGCTGGGAAGTTTTATCTTATTAACCTAAAGCTGTTACATAAAACAAAAAAAAAGAGGATCTACTCACTGCTCTTTGTTGTCTATTTCTCAGTAACTGAGATGCTAATTTTCCTAAATGCAAATAAATTTTCCAAATATTTTGAGTAATAAACTTTCAGTTCCCTGTGAACATCTTAGAGATGTCTAATAGTAATAATAAAATCTATCAAGTTAATAGGCTATACAATGGCAAGCCTTAAGGAGACTAACCTTCCAAATTTCAGAAAAGTTTTAAAAAGAAACAAGGGATGTTTAATGCCAGTTATCCTGATAGTGGCACAGCAAAAGGACCATGGCAAGGATTCCTCAAAGGAAACTTTGCAAACTAAAGAGATTGGGAGATCAAAGAAGTCTATTTAAAATTCCACCTTAAACCCCTTTATAACCGAAACACCCATCCATTCCCGAGAGAGCATGCTACTCCCTGTGTCCTGGGGAAGAATAAAGCCTGGAAAAGAAACTGGTCACTGAAAACTTATAAAGAAGTAAGGTTGTCAGCCTCAAATGGCCAAAATTAATATAACAAAAACCCTCAAGCAAAGACACGTGAGCTTTCTCAAGGCAGACAGTGGTGTGGTCATTCATACCTGTGTTCGCTGAAAGCTGTGGATGCTCTTGTTGGTTTTGACTGTTTTTTAGTAAAATCAACTTTCCACGATGTCATTTCACAAAAATAAGCCAAACATTGACCTTTAAATTCTACTTCTTATTTTTCATTTTAATGGTACGGCACTTCTAGTGTTTAAGAATTTCTTAAAAATTCTTACTTAGAAATATACTGGACAATCTTTGTGTTAATTTTCTCTGTCTCTAACTCCTCATTTTTTTTAAAAATAGCATTGTTGCTTTTTCCTGTGTGCATTTATTAACATTTAAAAGCAGAAACCCCAGGTTTCCTTCTCTCTAGCACATCGTATAAAGCAATCCTTCCCCTGCACCATTCATGTGGTTTTGCCATTGTTCTGCTTGTTGCTTTTTACTTCCAAGACCCTCTAATTAAAAAATATTTTAAAATCTGAAGACACAGGTAGGTTCATCTTTTAATAATAATAATGAGCTTCTTCGTTTTGTGTAGTTGTTATAATCCATGATTTGTAGAAATATTTTTTCATGCTGTGAAACAAAGCTAAAAAATGGTGACTTTATCGATGGAAATATTTACTATTCAAAGCTAACAGATTTATTCTATTCTCATATTTAATTCATAGCATTAATGTCATTTCCTTGTTCATAGCATCCTCTTTTAAAACTTCCTTTGAAAAGTAATAAAGGTGGATAGCTGTTTTAAGAAACCTTAAAATTCTCAGAAGTGCTTTATCTTTTTATTGGAGCATCTGTCACTGGTGTAATTTTCATTCTGAACAGGCTTTAAATGTTATAGAAATTATTTACATTTAATTCAATTAAGTTTATGATCTTCTCCAAATTATGACATATACATTATCTAACATTTTCAACAAAACAGCCTTGCTTGCTTTTTAAAGAATTGACTGAGGTTTTCAGTTTATTGAGCTGATGCACATAAAGCTATTTTTCTGACTATCACATACTTGGAACAGTCAGTTCCCAAACATTTCAGCACACCGAGATTATATATGATTCTTTTAAATGGATTCTAATGTTGCTTAACCTGATAAAATGCTATTAATCCTTTGCAGCCACTTTTTAAAAAGCACTTTGTGTGCTGAAAACAAGTTCAGAAATTCAAAACAATTTTATGTGAAATAGTATTATTCGAACATCAGCATAAATTAATTTTTTTCAATAAAAATTGCTGGTGAAAAGCTCCAAAGGAAATGAAACATGTAATTGCTTGTGCTCTATAAATCCAAGAGTAAAAACTGAACCTTACTGCTTATGTTCTCATGATCTGCATTGACTGGTAGGTTGACAGTTACATATATCTTTTCAGATGTTCATGGTATTTTGGAGAAGCAGAGGATGACCTCAGGATGATCTCTCTCAGTCCAGCTGCTTAACTCTGAATTCTGTGTAACGACTGTTTGTGTAATCAGCATATCTCCTCCGAACTCTCTCGCGGCTTGCAAGTGATCAAACAGACAAAGGCATAATGACAGCGCCATTGGATAGGTTTAACAGAAAAGGGATTCTAAAGCCATCCATGCGCAGCTAGGAAACTGCACCCTGGGAAAGCCATATTCTTTATTAAAATCACAAATACAAAAGCATCATTTATATACATACACCGTATACATATATTCTCAAGTTATTAGAAAATTATCACAAATTTATTGGCTTTACATTGCATTATGTGGCATATCATAGAACAAAAATACTCATGTGGTTTCCAGATGAAAGCTTTATTTGCATTTTTAATCCATGTATTTTCACTTAGACTATTTAAAGTATTTGCTCATAAATGCTTCCCAGTTTAGGCTTCCTGGCCATGGGAATGAATGTCCTGTGTCATGTAAAATTTGGTAGCTTGGCATTTCTGTTCAAATTTCAATTGTATCTTGCCTTTTCTGCAGCAAGCGCCAGCCTGCGGATGTTGGATATACAGCCAGCCGCCGCTTCCTGGAGCTCCTGATCCGGGGACCCCACCATGTCTAGAAGAAGCTGTGACACATAGAGGAAGAGATGGGGGGAAACAGAAAAAAGAATAAAACCATTAATCTAAAGGTACACATTTAGGCTATGAAAATGATTTTAAATGGTAAGCACTTTTAAAAGCCACCAAAAAATATAAGAAATGCCAGAAGGCAAATACAAACATAACTGGTGCTTAATCAGAGGGAGGAGTCATTCCTTCAATTGTTAATTTATTTTTGGGAGTAGAGCTAGACTCATTTCTCCCCTTCCCCTTTCTCTGGACAACTCGCTGCTGTACATTCTCCTTCTGAACTATCTTTGTGTCCTTTCTGACTTCTCCACCTCCCAGGACAAATCAACAGCATACCATCCCTAGACTGCTATGCATCCTCTTAGACTTAATCTCTGAACTCTATCCATATCACTACCTAATTATCTCAGTCCCCAAATAAGGCTTTCATTGACTCCCAGTGGAACTAACTACAGCTAGCTATTCTTAGCCTGCCCTGCATGCTTTGGCCTCAGTTTACTTTTCCAGCCATTTATCTTTCTCCCTGCTTCGTTACTGAAAGGTTACATTTCCCACTTTATTGATGCCATCCCTCTACCTGATGTGCCCACCCATCCCTTCTCTTTATCAATCTGATCATTTCTCAGGGTGACCCAGACAACTTTGCCACAAAGCCACCACCGATTTCCATCAAACAAATGTCCTTTCTCCTTCATTAGAACTCTCATAAAAGTCTACTCAAATGTCTGTTGCTACACTGTTTTTTCTGGTTTTTTTAGATACTGGGCTAAAGCTTTCTGTCCTTTAGATTGTAAATGCTTCAAGAATTTTATAATATGGTCTATGGCTAGTACACAGTAGATGCCAAGTAAATGTCAAATGAATGAATTACAAATTTTAAAACTTAGTAACTATGATTCTTCTTAACAGTTCTGGTAAAAGATGTTTCAAAAGTTAATCTGAAGCATGTATTTTTGATAAAGGTGCACTTGAGTACAAATATGGATAATGCCAGAAAATAAGGGTTACTTGATAAAGACCAAAATATCATAAGGAGAAATACGGTGGTGTCTTAAATTTCCCACACTTAGGAGTTTGGCTTTTATTCTCTGAGTAATAAAAAAATGCACTGAAGCATTTTAATCAGGAGAGTGACATGGCCATATCTATATTTTAGAAAATCAACTTTTACAGTAACATATAAAATATGGACTCTAGAGAGAGGAGACAGAAAGGCAGTGCATCACGTCACTCAAGAGGCGATGGGGATTGAATAAAGGAAAGGCACAGTGAGGAAGGAATGAATTCGAGGGCCAGTTAAAGGATTAATGCCCAAGAAACACTGGTTAACCAAATAAAAGAAAATAAAAACGGCAATCTCACATCATACATAAGCATCGATTCCCAACAGACCAGTGACTTAAGAAAGAGAAAAATGTGAAACAATTAAAAAGTTGTACATGAGAATATCTCGATCAAACTGGCCTACTGAAGGGTATCTGGCCTCTCCATGATGTTCACCACACCAGCCTTCCACCCCCAAGATGGCAGCCTGGTCCTCACTTTCAACAGTCCACCTCCAGACTCTGACACGCCGTCTCCTCTGATTCCGGGCCATCAGCAATGCTTGCTGCCATCGGGCCCACGCCCACTGGCCCATACGCTTTCTCTGTGAGTCTTCTGTCTCCAGTTCAGATGCCACAGACCCTCTTAGCATTTCTGAATCCTCCTTACGGCACCTGTCCAGGAAAACCACCCTGGTGCAGAAAGCCAACTCTTCCTTCCCCGGCATCTTCACCAGTAGCCTCCTGCCTGTGACAACGTGTAGACAGCAGGGCAATCAAGTCCACTGCAGAGTTAACCGCAACTGGATTCTTATCACTGCTCAGCAATCTAAGTGTCTTTTTCTAATGAGGCAACTTTATCACACTCTGCAATGTCCCTTTCAAATTCTCTTTGTTCTTGCAGCCCCTGTTCTAAGCAGATGAGCTGTGAGGGCTTCCTAACTTGACAGAAGCCCCTGGACAGGAACTACGTACCCGATGCTCTGCTCTACACCAGCTCAGCACCTCTTTACCTCCTCCCTTCCACCCAGCTGTCGCAGAAACCACTCTCTTTTACCCGGGACCCGACACCCCCCCTTGTATGCTCCGGCTGGTTTCCTTTTCCTGGGGACACCTCACTACCAAATACTCCTTCTCCCTCTCCTTACTTCATCTTAACCTCTCCCTTTCTAATGATGCTCTCCCATCATCATTTAAGCACTCATTTTCCACATTAAAAGCAAAGCAGAAAGACACACGTCTCTCCCCATTTCTTCCCGTCATAGTCAAATTTCTTCACAGCGTCATCGTCTGAACTCAGTATCTCCTAACTTCCATTCATCTCCCTCCAGCCTGGCTTGCAGGTCAGTTCGCCACTGAATCGGTCCTCTGGGAGGTCAGCAGCTGCGTTCTGTTGTTCAAAGCAAGGGACCCCTTTAAATTCTTCTTATTTGCTTCTTAACAGCATTTGGTGTAACACAGGACATTCTCCTTTTTGAAATAGTCTCTGCCATTGGAGTGTTGTTTGTTTGGTTTTCGGTGCTAGGTGAAAGCCGGGTCTCCACACATGCTAGGCTGTGCTGTACCTCTCAGGTACATCCCCAGTCCTGCCTGCCGCTGGTTTCATCACCACACTCCTCTGGTTTTCTTGCTATCCACTTATCCTCCTCTCAGTCTTCATCAATGACTGTCCCAATAGTCTGAATCATTTTAATCACACATATTGATATTCTTCTTATGATAGCCAAGTTATCACAATGAATCCCACTTACCTATAGGCTTTTCTAAGCTTTGGATTAGAGAGGGCTTGACGCTACACCAAAAGCTTGATTTCTCCAAGCACATGGGATGTGGAAGTAATCTTGTCTCCAACTGTCCTATATTTGTTGTTCACTTAACAGGAGGAAAATAGACTGCCAGCCAGACTGACTTCTACTCTCACCCTGATCTTCCTTGTGATAATTTCATGATTGCTTTTTAAATCTAGGAAGAGATGAAATAAAATCCTACCTGCAAATCCCATCTATCTTAAAGGGAAGTTGATACTTGCTTTATGGTGTTCGGCACCTTCCTAGAAAAGTCTGTGTCAAATCATAGTTAAGAATGTGGGTTCTGACATCATAGCATCTTGGGTTTGTATCTCAACTCTGCCCACTGAGCAAGTTATTAAACATGTTAACCCTACCTCTCACATGTTTAATGGGATTGCCTCCCTCTGAGGGTTACTGAGAGAATGAATGGGATGACATACACCTTTAATGCACGTCTGAACATCTGCATTCACATCCCTTTCCTGTCTACACCCTTTGCTGTCCCTTCCTGTTGTGTCTAATTGGTCCCCAAACCTTATGCTGAACCAAGCATATGGTATGTGAGAGTCTAAGTGTGGAGAAGCCCAGGCTGGGAAGGGCAGAGGAGACCTTGTGAAAAGAACAGCAGAAGGGGCAGGAAAGGAGAAAGCAGGAGAGTGGGATGAGCTTCCACCTATTTTGAACAGAGACTTTGAGGTGCTTGGAGTAGGAAAGCTATTTGGGGAGCAACTCTGGGATAAAAAGGAGAAACTCAGTATTAAAAAAAAAATCTAAAGAAGTTTCGCAGTCATGATTATGTGCTCTCTTTTCAAGACAGAATGAATCTAGCCTTAAAATTACTTTCAGTTGCTATTTGGTTGCCAGGTTTTTGTTTCTGTGACTGCATTTCCATGTCTAGACGGGACCATGACGTAGCTTGGCTTCACATAGGTTACGCATTTGAATACAGAGCCCAGTGCCCAATCCAAAGCAAGGTTCCATACATGGCATTCATTCTCATGGTAATTATTTTGCCAGGGCCGAAGTCCGGTTCTGGCATTTATTTTCTGGAGGCCAGCCCTAGTTACATGGAGAGGAATGAGGAAAGAGGAATGTTGGCCCTGAGGACAGTCTCGCTCCTGTCAGCACTTGCTCCAGGGCCCTTCCTTAGGTTCCAACAACCCAGGCTCCTCTGGGTACCAGCTGTTACTAACCTGCCATGCTCCTTTGGAGAGGAAGCCTTGAGCTGATGCCTGTCAAAGCCTAACATGTGTTTTTGCCCATACTGCCTCAGAGCAGGCTGCTGTTCTGTTGTCCCCCTTGGGCTTTCCAGGACTCAGCTGTCTCTATTCCCAAGCCTTTGGTGCCAGTTACATAATGTCCTACTGCATACACCAAGCACCTGCAGCATGTTGGCTACAGGACGAGCCCGGAAGAAAGCATCTCTGTGAGGCCACACACTGTGTGTTAGGGGGAAATATCTGATGAAGGCGGGTACCCTTTTCATGACTCTAAGTGAAGTCTCCTTTACCTGACGAACTCCTCATCCCGAATGCTCTTTAGGGAATTTATTTTGCCTAAATTTCTTGGATTAATCATAAGGCTTCATTCTCTATGTCACATGGTGGTTAGTGAATTTTTAGCCTAACTACTAAATCAATGGAGCCCACAGTCCACTATTTCAAAGGCTTAAAGTATGGGCAAATGTAAACATATTTAAAAAGAAATAAATAAAAAGAAGAAACCTGCCCCTTAGCGTGGTGCACGCGGAAGGCAGTGAGAGTTGCTCCCTTGAATTTACCTTGTGTGTCTCCCTGGCACAAAGCCCACCGGTTACCTCATGTTTGCATAACGTACAATGATTTTATTAGCTACCAAGCTTACTATGCACCAAACTCAGTGATTTATTCTTTACTGGTGGGTGCAGCCTGCTCAGCCCCTTTTACTTAGCCAGGAATATTCTCAATCAAGGGTACAGAGTTGGAAGTTTAGTTTTCTCTGTGCTTGGGGCAGGAACAGCTTGACATTGGAGATGTATTCCCAGGACCCGGATTGGGTTTTGCTGCTGCATCTGAACTCATTGCTGTTCCTGAATTTTATTTTATTGTCAATAAATATTACTTCTTGCTTTGCTCTACACCAAGAGGCTGTGCATCTCATGTTGCTTTACAAATTGAATAAGAA